TGAGTAACTTGTATCATACCTTCAAAGTGTAAATAGATCAGTTTGTCTTAGGGTGGCTTAGTGTGGTTTTGTGTTACCCGTTGAAAGGGTATTTTGTATACCAGTATAAGTCTGCAGATAAAGAGAAAGAGAATAGGAAGAAGAAGGTAAAAATGTAGACAAAGATGTATAAAAAGATGTAGAGGAAGGCAAGCGCAAAGAGGAAGGAAGAGTTAGTTGAAGGCAAACACAAAGAGGACGATGAAGATTTAGACAAAAATGTATTAGAAGTAACACTGGAAGGCACAGATGAAGGCTTTTGGCAAAGATGAAGATGAAGACTTAGTCAAAGGTGAAGGCTAAGACGAAGACAAAGAGAAAGAAGAAGGTAAAGAAGAGGACAGAGATGTAGACTGAGGCCAACAAGACAACACATTTAAAGTGGAAAAGTAAGAAGAATTTCAGTAGAAATGATGATGGAAACAAAGAGTTGGGGTTAGTTTGGATAGATTTGTTTGTATTTTAGTGCGTAACTTTTATTTTTATGTTTGATTGGCATGAACCAACAAGTGTTTTTATTTATTTTGTTTTAGATTTTTGTTGAGGAATGCAATGTTGTTGACAAAATGGGAAGTTCATATAAAGTCTTTATGCAGAATCCTAGGTATGTGAATTTCTTTGATTTATGTAGTGGTGACATTAAGAGAATTGAATTTGTCAACGTAGATGAAACTTATGAATTCTATAATGAATACGGAAAAGTGAATGGGTTTAGTGTGAGGAAAAAATAAATGTGATAAAAATAAGAATAGAGACATTGTGTGGCAGTAGTTTCTGTGTTCAAGTAAAAGGTTTTAACAATAAATGTACACTAGTATGCTGAATCGAGTTAGGGACCACAAAGCAATTACGAGATTTGATTGTAAGGTGAAGTTAATGATCAATAAAGATGTAGAAAGATGATGTTGTAGTTTCATGCTTTTTTATGATCATAATCATCATTTAGTTTATGAGAATTATTATGGAATGTTAAAGTCACATCATAACATGTGTTATGCTAATGTTGAATAAATGTAGAGAATAAGAAAAAGTGGTATAACAATCTAAAAAATTTACAACTTATTTGTTAACCAAACAAAAAGTTATGATATGATTAGATTTAAAAGACAAGATCACCGTTTTGAAAATAATAAAAAAGGAAAACAATATAAACTTTTTTTTAAAAATAAACTTTTAGGTTTAAAAGTTTATTGAAAGTTAGATATATCGAGTAATGTTGATATAAAACAGTAAAAAAAAATATTAAGTAAATATAAAAATTATAATACTAAAATAAAGATTATTATTTATTCTTTTGAAATAAATTTTGTAACTTACTTTTATGTATTTTTAAACTTTTCTCCTTTCGTCAATGGTATGATTAATTATTAAAATTTAGATTAAGTATGTATTGGGATACAATTAATTAAGAGAAAAAAATGAAAAAAATATTGTTTATTTTTGTTTTAAAGATTTAAAAAATTTAACTTATAATATTTGATTAGTTTTATTTTTAAGATAAGAAAAATTTCAGGATTAATTAAAAGTTATAAGCTTATTTTTTAGTTAATATTTTTTATGTTATCTTCAACAATTAATGAAATATTTTGATTAAAAATTAATTATTACACATACTTTCGTAATTTTTTTGTTATAACTTAATATAAAATTATTATTTTATATAATTATGATACAATAAATTATTTTAAAATCACTTTTTTCCTCTGAGATTAAATTATACTTTTCATTATTTGTATTTAAGTGAAATTTTTATTTGTTCTTTTAACTATTTTTTATTCAATTTAGTCTTTAAATTTAATTTAAACTTTACTTTAATTTTTTAATTTCTTTTTATTCAGTTTAATCTTCTGAGTTATTGTTCAAAGAAAAATAATACTTTAACTTTATTGTGTCTTTTAACTCAATCAAATGTTTTAAAATAATTACATATTTTTCAAATCTTTTTCTCAACTCATATTTTTCAAATGTCATGTATGTATAATTTTCATTGTGAATTTTCATTATAAACTCATGTACATCAGACGTAAAAATATACTTTAAATTGATAAAAATAATAAAGTTAGAAAAAACATTAGGATAAAAAGTAATTTAGAGAATTAAATAAATTTAACAAAAATTAAAAGACTAAAGTGAACTTAAATTAAACTCAGAGAACTAAATTAAATAAACAAAAAATTAGAGAAAAAAATTAAGACTTCAGTTAAACATAAAAGATAAAAATTAATAATGTCATTTGATTTAATATATCTAAATACAAAAACTATTTTATACAATTAATTATATAATTAAATAATTTATGTTTTTATTGAAAACAAATACATTTATTATATTAAAATTATAAAACTACAATAAATATTTCTCTTTTAAAATAGAATTATATTATTATTATTTATTTAATCTTAATCATCTAAGTTGAAAAAGATTTAATTACTTTTACTCATGTCTCGCACCAAGCAGAAGAGCTTGTGAGCCAACATTATCAGCCATCGCAATCGATGTAGCAATAGCACCCCTCAATGCTATTGCCAATGGTTGAACTTTAAAGACAAGAAACCATATGCAACATACAGATTAATCGATAACCTATGTTTGATATCTGAATCACGTTGGTCAATATTGTATTTTATTGCATTGCTCTTCATTTTTTGACTTGTAAATTTCCATCGACGAATAACGTGGATGAACTAATCAATACAAGTCCACAACTCACGGTTGCTCGTTGTTTAAAAAAACTTGTTCATACGAATGCCAAGTGGATTTTTAATATTTTAAAGATTAAAATATATAAAATTATAGAATTTTGAAGACTAACTTGCAGAGAGTGATGCATGGACGAACACAGTATAATTCAGGTCATACGATAGAAAAATGATAAAAATAATGATAATAAATTTTTATTGCAAGTTATAATATTTTATGTCATTGGTATATTAAATTATATAGGTACAGTTTGAATAAATTTTTAAAAGAGTCTTTATAAAATAAAAAATTAGTATAAAAATAAATAAAACTTCTTATTAGATAAAAACAACTTATGTTTTTATGTTGTTTTTAGATTTTTTTTTTCGTTTAACTTTTTTAAAACTTAAGAAGATAAATTATTTTTAACTCTAAAGAGAAATTTTATTTATTTTATTTTTATTTTATTCTTTTAGGAAAAAGACTCAAATTAAATTATAAAAAATAATAAAATTTCTCTTTAAATTAAAAGTAATTTATCTCCTTAAATCTCTAAAAAATAAAAAAAAATATAAAATCGTTTTACTATTTTTTTATAAGAATTTATCTAAATTACATCATAATATTTTATTATCAATTTTTATATTATAAAGGAGAGTATATTATATAGAAAATGAAATATTCTATAAGATTATTTTCTTTTATAAATACTCACATGTACTTTTTAATATTAGAATTGACTTAAAATGATATGTGAATTCAACTTTTTTAAAAAGAGTAACAATTTTATTTTATTTTTCATTATTTTGCTAATTTTAGAGATTATTTAAACTTTCTCATATTACTTTATAAAACTTTCAGACATTCTCAGTGAATAATATGTTTACAATTATAAATTTTTTTATTTTATATAAACTTTTAAATTTTCTGTGAATATAAATTTTTATGTATTATTTTATATAGATTTTAAAATTTTTCATAAATACTTATGCGTATATTTATAAATTTTATAATACTTAATTTATTATATGCAATATTTTGAATGACAATTCTAAACAATTATACATCTTTAATTTCATGTATTAGAAATTGTAAGATCCATTACTTTTATCTATTTTTCTCCTCGAAATTTACATTTTTTTAAATAATCTTTCTCATGCTATTTTCTCCAACAAGCTCAAATGTACACTTAATTATACTTAAGAAAATGTCTTAATTTTTTTAATTTTAAGTTTATTTTTAAAAATATTATCTCTTAAATTTATTATTGATAATATATATTAATTGTTAATATTTATTTAAAATTTTTTTACACTATACTATAAAATAATATTTTAAAATAAACTATATTTTAAAATTGTTATAATTTTACTAAATCTTTAACATTTTAATACATACTATTTGTAATTATAAAATTAAGTTAAAATGTCTTTAATAAAATTATTGTTTAAAATAATTATATACATATATAATTTTATATAATATAATATTTTATTCTTTAATTATTAAATTTGTATATATATGATTGTAAAATAAAATATATGTGCATTGCATGGAGTACTGACTAATTTTTAATAAAAAAAACTAGTATATACTCTCTTCAATCTCAAATACAAGTAATAAGTAAATAAATTGTTAATTAAAGAATTAGTTAATCCCATTTAAAAGTTTTAATTTTATATATAAAAATTTAACTCTATTCACTAACAAGCTCTTTAAGATGATTTAATATTTTTATTGTTGATGATTTAAGTTTTTATATTAAATGTCAAAATCAGGAAAATTAAGAAGCCATTCGGCATCTTAAGAGAAGATAATTAAATTTTGATAACTAGTTTCAACTTTAGATTTCTCTTTTCATTTTTGAAAGTGTATGAAATTATTAACAAATATTTCATAAATAAAAATATTAAAATAAAATATGAATTAAATAAGAGTATTTTAGGGAATTTTGTTAAATAATTAAAAATCAATTAAGATTTTCTTATATTTAGATTTGTTTATATTTAAATTTTTTAATATATATTTTTAAAAAAATATTAAAAATTAATAAATATGTTAGTCTTAAGCTCGGTTTTAAATATTGATGTTAAAAAAAGCTCGGAAATAAAGGTGAAGCTAAAACAATTTTTAGTCTTTGGGATGACCACTGTAACTCGTGGACAGAAAAGTCTGAAATGACACCAGAAAACATCATTTTTATTCAACTATAATTGTTTGTCATGCCACTCCACAGAAAATACACAGAGGGATGCTTGGGATGGGGTCAGCGTCCTAAAACATTAAGGCACCTTATAAATGTAGGATCTTGTAAAGAAAATGAAGAGAGCCAATCCAATCACATTGAGTCCAGCAAGTAACCAGTAAAAGTAATCAAGATGCGCCTTATTGAGATTATTAGCAAACCAACTGTCATGTCCATCTTTGCCAGTCAATTCTTCTATCACAGAAATGAGCAAGCCGCTTAGAAAGTTCCCTACACCAAAGATACTCAAGTAGAGAGCAAGACCCATGCTTCTTAATTCATTTGGTACCTGATCATAGAAAAATTCCTGCAGACCAACCTTGGTAAAAACCTCCGCAATCCCGAAAAGGAAAAATTGGGGAATCAGCCACCACACACTCATAGGAACAGTTTTATTCGGTTCATCAACAAGATCATACTCCTGCGCTGTTTCTAATCTTTTCTTCTCAACAATTGCTGCAATTACTAATGTAAACATGGAGATAAGGATTCCTGTTCCAATCCTTTGTAGCATGGTGATGCCCGAGGGTTTTCCAGTCATAGATCTTGCCACTGGAACAAATATGCGATCATAGATAGGACTAAAGAGAACAATGCCCAGACCAGTAAGTGATCGAAGAGCAGCAGGAGGCATATCAAACCCGGGAAATATGTTTCTGTCCATTTTAGCCCCTTGCTTGACAAAGAGTGTAGAATCTTGAGCAAGCCCAACAGTATAAAGCAGACATGTAGCCCAAATAGGAACCAACCTCAGTACCCCCTTTGCTTCTTCCACCTCTGTCAGGCTACAACTCTCCTCTTCCACATAACTATTTGTTGCCAACAATGCTGTGTTAAGGGAGCTGCAAAAGCAGAAAAAAGGCGTTGTCTAATGAAAATAATTAATAATCCACACAACCCGTCCTACTTTATGCTAACACTAACTACTTGGTTGATAATTGGAATCTTTCAATCCAAACAAATAGGCTATTTTTGAGAGATGGGGGTGGAAAAATCACTTACCCAAAAATGTTACTGCTTTAAAGTTAAGAAAGCAAACAAGAAGGGGAGAATTTTGGAACAGCCACATTTTTTATCATTGTTGTTTCTTACTTGGATTCTCCAGAACTTTGATGAGGATTATTTGGAATTATTCCACAAGTTTCCTCTGTGATAGTGTGGCGCCGATTTCTTATAGCTGCAACGAATGCACGACCAATTGTGAGAAAAGGGTTCTTGTCACTATGTCCCTGAATGTTAAACCTGTAGGTCCTTGTTCCGAGCAAGAAAATAAGCAATGTAATGATCATTGCCACACACGGGATTCCAAATCCAAGAACCCAACTAATGTTGTCCTGTATGTAGTTTAAGATCCAAACAGTTGATATGCAACCTGCAGCCGAGGCAAAATACCACCAATTAAATAATGAGCTTCTATCTTTGTACTCGTTTGGGTGCAGTTCATCGAATTGATCTGCTCCAAAGGCCTGCACACAGGGCGTATGTCCACCTTGTGCAATGGCCACCAGATAAAGTGACACAAAGAATAAGATTACTTGAAACCCAGGAGAGCATGATGTTAATTTATTGCTAACTGGGCATTCAGCATTTGCGAGAGATATCAGCATAGCTGACACTGTCAACAAGCCTAGTCCCTGTCATATAAAGACAAAGGATCACCCCTTTTAGGAATAATGATAAAAGCAAGCAGTATGAAATCTCTCTCTCTCACACACACACACACTTCATACAATCAAATTATACACCTTTAGCTTTAGTGTTCTATGAACTTGAGAATAATATTTTTTTTTCTACAATCTATTGTTTTTATTATTAATTGAAGAAGACGTTCAGATCAAAGTCGAAAAGATTTACCTTTACTCATCTCTCTCACCAGTACAGATAGTAAAAGAAATCCACCTCCTCTCACTCTCTCGTGACAAAATTTAACGTTTAATTTCATTTTTAATTAAATAAAAATAGATTAGCTTAATAAAAAATGACAAATTTGTTTACACAATTAGCAAATTTAGTTCTTTGCCCAAACGAATTTTGTGTATTTCTTACAAGAGGAAAGATAAGAGGGTTTGGTGTGCGGAGAAGAGGAGACTAAGTGGAGAAGTTAGGTACAGAGAGAAGATGGGGGAAATGGTGAGAGAAAAAGAAAAACTGGGTATTGAGAAAGAGAAGAGGGAGTTGAGAAAGGAAAAAAAGATTTGAGTATAGGAAGATGAGGGAGAGAGTTGGATGTAGAAGTTTGGAATTGAGCTTTAGGCATGAGGAAAGGAAAATTGAAGTCTGGGAGAGGGAGAATAAAAGGTTAGGGAAGGAAAGGAGATGCAAAATTTGTTCTAACAAAATTTGGGTGGAATTTATTTTTTATTTTCGTTTAAGCAAGTATATTTTCATTCAAATAAAAATAAAATTAAACTTTCACTTTTCACCAATAATTGAAAGAGATTTGTATCCTAGTAAAAGTCAATTGAAAAAGTAAACTAATAAAAACATAAATAATAAAAAAATTATCATTTTAATCCAAATCATCAAAATATTTCTTCAATTAAGCAAAATGTTATTTTAGCTTTCTGGTATATAATTGTCAAATCATTTTAGTTCACTTCTTCTAAGTTTTAGCTAAATAGTCTTTAAACTAATCAAAATATTATTTTAATTCTAACTTATATAATTATTAATTATTTCAATCTTTAATGTATGTTATGTTCCCTTAATACTTAACATGCCAAGTTAGCTTCTCAGTTAGAATAAAAGTAGTAGTTTAAAAACTATAATGTTTAGGTGATAATAAAAGTTAAAATGATTAATACTTTTATATATTAAAGATTAAAATTACAGAGTATTATATGCTTTGAAGATTAAAAGATATTTTGCTTTGTTTAGGAATTATTTTGATAAATCTTATAAGTATAGGTACTAAAATAATTAACTTGTATATATTGGAATTAAAATGATGTTTTGCTATATTCGGATATTATTTCAATGAATCTTAGAAAGACTAAATTCCTAATTTAATTGTAAGATTATTAGCATCATATGTTTTAGTTATTAAAATTTTAAAATATTTTTGTTAATTCTTATTTTTTATTTTCGTTAATCACTTTAGCAAGTCATCAACACAATACTCAATAATTTGTTTCTATTGATCACTTTAGTAAGTTATACAGCATTAGGACAATACTTACGTATCATATGAAACTAAAATGATATTTTATTTAATTTAGAAATTGTTCTGATGATTCTTGAGAATAATTAACTTGGAATAAAATAGACTTACCAAAATATAGAGGGAGGAAGCTAAAATAATGGTGCGGTAGCGGCCAAGATAAGAATCAGCCAAGAATGCTCCGAGCAGGGGAAGCAAGAAGGAGGTTCCACACCAGACGTTGACATTTTGGGCAGCGGTGGCCGTACTCTGGCGGAGTGGTCCGGTGAGGTAGGAGATAAGGTTCCCCTGAATTCCATAATACGAAATCCTCTCCGCCACTTCCACACCTGATTCATATCATTGAACTCAAATAATTTGAAACAACGTTAATCGTAATATATTCAAGTGATAGTAATACTTATGATAAACCCAGCCGATCTCCAGGAGCCTGATTTCGATCTGATTGCGGCTCCACCTTTGTAGTCAACGCTGTTCGCCACCAGAGCAGCTTCTGAGCCACCATTCTCGCCCATCGCTATCTATGTAGCATTAGCCCCCCTCAATGCTATTGCCAATGGTTGAACTTTAAACACTAGAAGCCAAATTTAACATTTAGTTTAATCGATCCCGTATATTTTTTACGTGAATCACGTTGCATCAATATTATATTTTATTCCATTGCTCTTCATTTTTTTCAATAGAAAAGAGGTTATGTGTTCAAATTCCACTGGGTGTAATTTTTTATAATTATAAATAAATTAGTTTTTAATCTTTTATATTTGGAGTCATCTTACAGTATCTTGTCTTTAAAAAATTACGGATTAAAAGAACAACTAAGTGGAACCAGCACTCAACCATGAAATCACTATATTACAAGGAAAGAAAATGACTTTTTGACTTGTACAGGCAATAATTAATAACAAAATATCATAATAGTATAGTTTGTAACAATTTATTTAAATGTACAAAATGAAAAATGTAGAATTTGTAAAATTCACAATGAGTATGCACCACTACACAAGAAAGTGACACGTAGCAAAGTAAAAGAAGGTGCCACTGGGAATCACTTCAGTACAAGTAACTCAACTTGAATAAGCACAACTCAGATAAACAATGTCATGTGTTAGTGGCAGACTAGTAGCTACGAACAACTCTATAAAAACAATGTCAATATGTTAATGTCAGACTTGTAGCTTCTAGTGACAAACACTGCTCATTGTGATATTACTATGTGTCACTTACATACTAATAGTTTCTTGTAGACAAACATCATTTATTGTGGTGTTGCCATATATCAAGCATGAGTGTTTTTCTCGAAGCGGAAGGGTGCCAATTTTTAGAATGTTAAATAGTTGTTGCAGAAGTTTACTTTTATTACTTATTTTTTCATATTTTTATTTACACTTTGTTTATCTTTTTTTTTTCTTTGCAATTTTAAGTTACACATTTGTTTTGTTGTTAGGAAAATTATCTAACTCATATTTGATAACTATTTTCTATTTTAAAATTTATTTTTTGTTGTTATTATTTTAATTGTACGTTCACTTTATTATTCTTAGTTAACATAATAAAATATTATTGTATGTAGTTTTTAAATGTTTCAGTTTATTTAAATTAATTTATTTAAATAAATTAATCATTAATGTATTTTTAATTAAATTGTATTTAAAATATGAGTTACATGATTGTAGTTATGTATTCAAATGGAAAAAAATTATGAAAAAATAAAAGGTTTATTTGAAAAATAACATTTTTAATTTAATTTTTTGAATAACTATTTCTAAAATTTATTTTAAAATCATATATCAACTAAGATTTTACAACTAATATAAAATGAAAATAACACATTATTTATTTATTTATTCTAAAATTATTATGCTAACTAAATTTAATATACGTTCAACATTATTTTAAAATTTTATTATAACATCACAAATGTTTTAAGAAGAATTTTGCAGTTATTTCACTATTTATTTTTCTATAAGGTGCTTTAATGTTTTAGGACGCTGAAAATAGAAGTGTTTAATTGATGTGAATTGTAGGATATCTCGCTATAGCGAGACAAATTCGCTGTAGCGAGAATGAAGCGATGAAAATGGAACCTTTTGAAACTCTCTCGTTGTAACTAAAATATCTCGCTGTAGCTAGAATGATAGACAGCAAATGAAGAAAACTTTTAGTTTTTTCGCTGTAGCGAGAACTGCTCGCTGTAGAGAGAAAGTCGCGAGTTTGAGAGATATTTAAAGTACTCTTGTCATAAAAACTTCATTTTCAACCAAATCACATATCCCTTTTTCGTTCTCTCCCTTTCCTTTCTCAGAGAAAACCTCTAATAACTTACTCTGTATCCCTCTTGGATCTGAGCTCAAACGTCTATTCCATTCGAATCTAAGTAAATTTTTGGAGCTCATCCTTTGAATCTCGTTCTTATTTCTCTTTTCTCTCTTTCATAATAGAAATCTACCTTATGATGTTAGGAAGAACTCTAGTCCTTGAGTAGTATTTTTAGTCGAGACGTGGAGTTTCTCCCTAAAGCACACGAAGAACTTGGTTCTTGAGATCCATTTCCAGGTAAGAAGAGTTACTCTTAAACCCTAGGTTCTACCTAAATATGTTTATTAATATTTACAGAAGAGGGTTATCTTATTTTAAAAAGTAAAAATCCATAAAGTTTTCTTGAACTATATAAGTTTAAAATAAATTTTTGGTATAAAAGAGATTTTTGATCTGTTTAAAATCACTTGAGATGAAGTGTATTTTAAATAGTCACGAGTAAGAATGAGTTAAACAGTTTTATAAGTAAGTTATTATATTTTTTATATATGTGTTAATGGTGAAAAAGTGGAATATGATGAACTTTAGGGTAAAAAATTCTATTAAGACCGAGTGAATGTGATCTTCGACAATATATTTTGAACTGCATAATTTGGGCTAAGTCCGAGGGTGTCTGACTCTCGGCATATTGCATAGAATTGTGTGATAATATGTTACTGCTTTGTAAACATGTGCTTAAATGACCAAACATGATAAATGTATTGGACCTATAATAATATGTGTCTACCTTGTGATTATATGTATAATTGAAAATGATAAATGAGATCAAGTATGTGAATTAGAGATTTTATATGTTATCAAAAGAAAAGGGAATTATATGATATGAAAAAGTGATGAAAATGTATAAAGAAAGAAATAAGGAATGCTAGTGCTTGTGTCAAATACACTGATTGATGCGCTTATATATATGCGTTATAATACACCAACGGGTGAGATTATAACACATCTGTTGTAGTACATCGATTAATGTGTTTACAACATATGTATTAGAATAGTATAACTTGATATGTCACTGTTGAGATACTATATAGATAGTTCAGGGATACACTACGGGTATAGGATCTGGAGTTAAATATGAAAATATGGTGGAAATGAGAGTGGTAAATGTATTTACACAATGTATACATGATGTAAAAGTGAGATATATTTACAGGCCTCACACTCATTTCTTGGCCGAGTTCCTAATTGTACTTTTGCTTGGAAGACTGTGAACACACACATTGTATCTGTTTGTGGTTTGACTTACCATCAACAATCTATGTTGCGTAAGTCCTTTGTAACTAATGAGAGTGCGTTGGCAGCGATTTAAGGGTCCGAGAGTACTGTTAGTTGATGAGATATTCAGATTTAAGATGAATGTAGTGGCACGAAGATATGAATTGAATAATGATAATTGGTTAAATGTGGAGTAATATTCATGGATAACTTTCGTTTGATTGAAATTGTATGATTAAGTAAAGTGGCATGAATTCGAACATTGAATTTAAATGGATTAATTAAATAAGAAATGAAATACGTATTAGTAAATACAATAATGAAAGATGTATATGAATGATTTTGTCTAGTTAAATTTGTTAAGTATGGAATGTTTTTGCTTGGTTACCTATTGTATTAGAAAATATTTTTGTATTATTATTTATTATTCTATAAAATAAAAATTTTAGTGAGGCAGGAGATGCTCACCCTTATAAACTTTTTCAGGTAACGAAGCGAGAAAAAGGAGATTGATCCGTTCTAGATCATACTGGCAAGGGATAGTAGGAAAGAGATTGCTTTGTTAGGACTGATTATTTTGAAGAATGTGATTACATTAATTAAGTTTTTAATGAGAGTTTGAAGTATTTTAATAAATCTATTGTAAATGACGATTCAAAGCACGTGTTTAATAATTAGTAATTAATTGTTAATATAAAAATTTTAGCTTTCCTGTAATTGTAAATTGATAATCTCAAAATTATATTCTTAATTTTATTATGAACGGAATTTATATGTATGAAGTTTAAATTTTACTCATTTTCACTGATTCAGAGTTTATGCATATAAATATTCGTTCTATTCATTCATCTCTACTTATTTTAATCATATCATATTGATATTTCTATTTTTTTTAAAGGAAAATTATGTAAATAAATTAGGGATGTTACATCTCCTCTCCCTCCTCGCTGCACACCCAATCTCCAACCCTAAAGTATCTAAGCTATTTTCAAAGAAATTTTGAGAAATCAAATACAATATTCACAATGAACATAGTTTTGAAGCTCTATCTTCTGCATCCTCCTCATTATATATATTTTCTATAGCTTCGAGGAATGATCTAATATCAAGTTTCCCCATTCTTTTCATACCAATATTATCATGACAAGATATCTCTTTAATGTCTTGCAATAGATGAAAATTCAATAAAGTTCACAAAATGTAAGAAACCATGTATAAGTCTTTTCTGCATAAGCATAATCAAATTGACTAACATAAAAAAATTTTTGGGTAATATATGTCATTTAGACGACAAAGAAATCATGACGAGGTTTGTATATATTACTTGAATCACTATGCTACTTTGCTCTAAACAAAATAAACAAAAATTACAACATAATAAGAAGGCAAAAAAAAGGAATACATTATGCAAAAAATTAAAATTTATAACACTGTCTCTGTACATTAGATCAAATTTCTTTTTCTAGCATTAAAAACTATGCAGGACAACTTTCTCAATAAGTGAATATCATATTGAGTTCATACAAGAATTTAAATGGACAAGAAAATTTATCGATTAAAACATGACCAAAGCTCTATATTATAAATAGCCAATGAATGAAATATATGAGAATTCAAACAATGCACTAATATTATAAAATCAGTACTATAGAAATAGAAGATAAATTTGATAAAAGAAAAAAAAACACTTACATTAATCAATTCTTTTTGAGGGGGTGAGAGTATGAAGAAGAGTAAGGAAAAAAATTATAATTGTGGGTGTAAGGGTAGAGGTGTGGTTGGAGGTTTGGCTGTAGGTGTAAGCTGGAAAAAGGGAAATGGGGAGAGGGAGGAGTGTAAGGAAGAGGAAGGAAAATGGATAAGAAAAAAGAAAAAGGTTGAGGATGTGAATCTAAGACGAGAGAAGAGGAAGACGTGGAGATTTGGTGAGAAGGAAAAAGGAAAAATATTACAACAAGGCGGGGTAGTTTCAAAAAGGAGAGGAGAGGAGAGAGATAGGGGAGAAAAAATAAAAAAGAGTAAGAGATTTATTTATAAATATAAAAAATATAATAAAAATTTATTTATAAATATTAATTTTAAATAATAAAATATTATTATACTAGATGATGTAATATAATACATGATATCTGTAATTTTTAGATTTTAAAATTAAATATAAAAAAAATTATAAAAATTTATCACAGAATAACTAATATTTATAATAATTAAATTAATATATTAAATATTCTTTTTAAAAGTTACTTCCACGATAATAATTACTTTTTAAAATTTTAGTATTAAGATAACTATTACAATAACAGTTTAGAGGATATGACAAAATTCTTTCATAAACTGTCTCCATTATTCCTTAGCAAAATTCCATCCACTTGTTCATACCAATGCCAATTGGATGAATTGGCCAATGACCATACACACTACTACTTGTCTACCCCACTTTGTGTCTAATGGGGAACTACCTATGCCAACTGATTCCATTGGATGCGAGACAAAGAATCAAAAGTGTTAACCCTCAAATTATGAGTCGTGTATTATAGTTTTTAAGATTTAATTTTTTTGTTACTTTTTTATTTTATTATTTTATAATGTAAAATAACAGCAAAAAATAAAAATAATTAAAATAAGAGTATTACTGTCTAGTATGAAAATTTTTGACAAATATTTTAAGAATAAATTACAAAATATGACGAAAGAATTACAAAATATAGTGTTTTTGAAAATTAAAAAAATATAAAATTCATAAATTGTCGATAACAAATTTGATGCAAGTATAAAATTTCAAAGATAAAATAATAAAAAGTTTAAAATAATTTAAAACTTATCGATAACAATTTTTTAAAAATACATTAAAATTTTTTAAAATGTCAAAACTTGTCTATAACAATTTTTTAAAAAATAATAATTTTTTTATATCATTATTAAGTAAATTTTGAAAAAAAAAGTATATATATTTTTTAAAACACTATATATATTAAACTTATTTTAAAATAATAAATACACAATAACAAGTTATATACAGTTTTTTTATGAAAATTATATTATTTAATTTTTTAAAATTACACAATAATATTAAAAGACATTTTTAAAAAAAGTTAACTATGTATTAATTTTCTTATTTAAAAAATGATTGCAATATGAATGAAAGGTAATGGAAAATGCGCGTGAAGGAAAGGGATGCCTAGCGCGTGGCGGTGAGTTGATGATTAGTGAGTGTCGCTGTCGTTCTGAAAACACAACTTTGCGGCTCACGTTGATGAGATGAGAAAGATGGAAAGGTCCAAATTGAAGAAGAAGACGGCAGTGAAAAAAGCGGTTTGGTTATCCGGAAGAACGCGCAATAAGCATACCCATCCACATCCACCTTTTCTTCTGCTCCATCGCAGGGAACACAAAACCCAATCTCTATTCTTTTTTATACATTAAATTACTACAGAGGCCGATGCAACCCACTTCCGCGGGCGGCGGCCTATCCCGCTTCCGCTCAACTCCGGCGAGCTGGTTAGAAGCTGTTCTTCTTAAGGAGGGGGAAGAGGAAAGCGAATGCGAAGCCGAAGCCCAAGACCCCTTAAGCTTTACTCAACTCCTCTCCACTAACACTGCTCCCTCTACCCTCTTTGCCTCCCAACACCAACGCTTCGTCGATTACCCTCTTTCCGCTCCAGCTAATCCAATCGCACACCAGGTTCAGTTCGTTACTTAATCTTCTTTTTTTCATTCAATATTTCATTGATCTTCGCTCTGTGCGGTGCCTGTCCCTGGGCCGGAATAACTGATGGATATCTTTTTCTTCTTCTGTAATTCTTTATTATGGAAAATGTTAGTATTTAATATTAAAATTAACACGGAATGTGTGTAGGAAATTGAAGGTAGTGGTAAGGCACCTGACACTGACGTGAAAATGGACAAGATTTTAGAGGATTCGGTACCTTGTAGAGTTCGGGCAAAGCGTGGATGTGCTACGCATCCAAGGAGTATTGCTGAAAGGGTAACGCTTCTCGCTTCTCATCTCAGACTAATTTATACTTTTACACCACTTCCCGATGCTATCTTATCTGTTCTCTCTCTAAATTGGAAACCTTCTTTTTTGGGTTTAGGTTCGGAGGACTCGTATAAGTGACCGCATAAGAAAGCTCCAAGAACTTGTGCCAAACATGGATAAGGTTATACTTATTATCTTAAATAAACCACTATGACATGTTTCTTCTAAAATGTTGTCTATTATCAACAAATAATTTACTTCAACTCTTATTAATTGTAGGTCTTATCCTTTGCCCCTGTGCTCCGATGATGAAATGTTAAGAACACGAGATTTCATTTACAAACGAATTATTGTATGAAAAAATTTACTTGGAAACATATTACCTTAAGAATTCAATTCATTTATAAACCACTATGTGCTATATTCCATGATTTCCAAATTATGGAAGGATTTGCTAATCATTTCCTTTCATTGAACTACTCTACCAACTCAGTGTCAGAATCGTTGAGTGACAATTGAACACTTAGGTTTGTCCTCATATGGCCCTAGTATACAGACAAGTAGGGTGGCTTTCGTGTTTTTTTCTTTTTGTACGGGGATCTGTGGTTGGAAGAGTCTTTTATACCGTATCTCCTCCCCTGATACCGCTGTCTCTCCTCCCTGCATCATGCTCCATATTTTTTATTTTCCTTCCACGGTTAGCTTTTTCATTTGCTTGACATTAACCTAAATGTCAGAGTTCATAAATTTGACAACCTTGTTTAATTTTTATTTCCAGAACCCTATATAATAACTTGGTTATCTAAGGATCTGTTATGATCAGAAAAGCAGCACAATGACTTATCTCCTGATGTAATGAGCTTTCGGTATTTAGAATCAAGCAGCCTTTTTTATTTTCTGCATTATTAACTGGCTTGGCAATTTTAAAACGGGCCTGCTACCTTGGGACAATATTTCATACAAGCTTTATGGTATTGTGCTGATTTTGCTGGTGTTTGGCTGCAGCATAACACTGTAGTGTTTTACATCTTTTCCAGCCGTTCGATCTCCTTCTAAATGGATTCCTGTTCTTGGCCTCTTTATTGGTCAAAGTAATGGTTTGTTGGGATATTATTTTGGGGGTTCTACAAAGTGAGTTGGCTGTTGGCTGCTCTCTCAAGCTGGATTTCTTTTCCTGTTTCAATTGCTCTCTGTTTTTTCGATGTTTTGGGAGAATTCATTCCAATCCTCGCTCCCTCTTTCTTTCTAGTACCATCTTTTTTATTGTAAAAAAATTGTTTTTTATTTATTTATTACCAGCTCAGCCCTTCCACTGGATAATCCTTACCTGTGCAAAAATAGCATTAGAAAAAGCTTAACAATCCTCCGCTAGGATGTGTATCCAACAAACATGCTCTGAAAGATCCATTCATATAATGGTGTAACTATTTGAGTTCGAAACTGTTATGCAATGCCTGTAGAGTTTATCGTTTCTTTTTTTGTGTATGTCTAGTCAGTGTGTACTGTGTAGTAGTTAAATATGGCGGTTGCTTTTGTTCTTGTAGCAAACAAATACTGCCGATATGTTAGACGAGGCGGTAGCTTATGTCAAGTTTCTACAACAGCAAATTGAGGTACTCTTGTGTGTGTGACTAAATTTATGCTTGTGATTGTTTTCGCTCAGTCGTTTGGTCACAATATATTATTGATGATAATGTTGGTCATGGGGTTGCCACCAAATCTTTCATGAATTGAGAAACTTAAAACATTGCAGGAACTATCAGAGGACCAGCGGAGGTGTAAGTGCATGGTTCAAGAGTAAATTGCTGATTGTTCCTTACAAGGTGGTTGGCGGTTTACGATTTATTTGAAGATTAATCAGATTTTTGGTGTTCTGATGAAGATGAAGCATAAGCTGTGGTTGCTAATTATAATTTTTAAACATCCCAACATACCTTAAGAGATGCATATACATGTTGATGGTGGCATTATCAAGTTCGTGACGAATCAACTTCATAGAGATTTACCGTCACGGTGTGGTATTGTGGTGTAATTGTAGCGTTGTATACACAAATCTGCACCCATAGTAACTACTTGGACTTTTCTTTTATTGAGATATACATATCCATATGTGGAAATTTTTTTAATCAACGGATTGCGTCGATCTGCCGCTACGTAGCTGATAGATTTTTGCATTAAGGTATGTTTGGGAGAATTTTCAGAGGGGACGACATAATTTCTTCCAAATAATTTCTTAATCTTATTTGTATATTTAACGGGGTTTAAAAGCCCAAGATGTTCCTAGGGCTCTAATCCCTTTAGCAACTAGCCTCAAATAAAGAAACAAAAGAAAAGAGAGAGATCTAAACAATCAACAAGTAGAGAGATTAGCTTTTACACCCTTAGTATTTTTATTTGTTATTTTATTGTATATTATTACCTTTTATTTCCACGGCTACTTTATTTACATTATGTTATTTTAGAGTATAAAGATGTTCCTGCCAAGAAACGAATATTGAAAAACAAAAAAGAGTTTGTAAGTTTAGGAAGTGGAAGAACAAACGAGGAAGAGGAATGATTAAATTGTTTGCCCTTTGGTTGTACAAGTCTTCCACGTCTTTATGATTATTCATTCAAATACATCCTAGCTATGCATTTATTATTATATACACAGAGTAACATTCCCATACATTGGAATTGGCAAATCAAAAAAGCAAGTCTTAATTTTAGAGGATGTCTTTGCTTCACCTTTAATCGAAAGCTTTTTTTTTCTCAAAAAACAATGAATGCAATGATTTGTATTATTGTATACATGCAAATTTAATATGTCATTTTTATTTTGTTTCTTGTTTTTCTAATCATGTACTTTTTCTTTTTGTCTTCTTTGTTTTCTTATTTGTGTTTGTTGACTTATATTATTCTTTTTCTTCCTTCTTTATACATGTACACTTTGCTTCTTATCTTCTTTGTTAACATGTTTGTGTTTGTTGACTTATGGTTGTTTTGTTGTCACCTATGCACTAAAATAATTTTTATTGTTTGCACAAGTACCTTTAATTGGGCCGAACTCCATCCTAAATAATTGATTATTCATTTTATTGAACATTGGCCCAAATAATTGCCTCTTGTGTTTTGAAAAATAAAACTTTTGTGGCTTTGCCCTCCTTTCTTGCTTATCCCTGTATTTTTATTTTTTGAAACACAATTTTTATTAATGACTTGTCAACTCTTACTGCTTGTACATGACAATGAGGCTTCACTTGTTTTTCATGCTTAAAAATATTAATTAATTTCTCATGTTATTTTTTAGTTTTGATTATGAAAAATTTGCTTTTATCTCCCTAGTGAATTTTATTTATACCCATTTTCTCCATAAGCAGACTAGATTGTTAAACGTGCTTTCAAAAGTAAATATTCATTAACTTGTGACAAATTAAAATTTGGCAATTTTGCTTGCTACAAGAAACTTGTTAGAGTAATAATATTTTTGTAAAATATGATATAAAATTATTTTTCATTGCACAAAATCTATTTAGCTTTTGTTCTATCATGCTTGATAAGTTCTTTTTTTTTTTTCTTCTTCTTTTGTCTTTCATAATTTTCTTTGCTTGCTTTGTGAGCTATTCTTTGAAGGTCTTTGAGTGTCATGTTTTTCCCTTTGCTATGAAGTGTTATAATGTCTTTTGAAGCAATGAGACATGATTTTTTTTTATAGATCTGACTCTCATTGTTTCAACGGTGGAATACTTTCTCATATGTTCATTGTTGCTTGGAAGAGTTTACCCTACTCCTAAAGATGTTCACTTACTCCTATGAACCTTTTAGATACTTCTATTCCCAATCAAATTATAGAAATAACCAAAAAATTGAAAGGTCATACCAATAAAAGTTCTCGTTACTCAAAGAACTTTTCGTGAAGTATTGCACTTTTAAGAGGTGACAAACAACTTGTGCCAAAGGTATGTATACTTTTACTATTTATATGTTATTTTTATGGAATTTTCAATGTTGCAGGTAATTTTGAAGTTGATTCCTCTGGACCTTTATCTCTGAAGTATGTGGCCTTTCTCACTTTTTGGCTAAGCTATTATGTATTTTTTTTAGTCCATCGTAGGAATTTCTTAATCCCTCAATCTACATCTTTTCATGTATCTTATCCAAAAGCATGAGGTTATCTTTGATCCCTTCTTTATTTGAGCAAATTGTATACTTGCCTTGACCAAATTCAAACATATAGGAGTTTCTCTATTGACATTTTTGTATATATTTTATGGACGGATGTTTTTCATGTTTCTTTTTAAGCATTTCTTACTTTATGCTCCTTATAGATAATTTATGATCCAACATTTCCTTGCTTTTAGTTCACATGTCCCCATTCTCATATGATAAAGCATTATCTTTCGCTCTTAGAAGACTTTTCTTGCTGAGGTCACATATACTATATTTACATTACATTGTTTTTAGCATAGAAATGTGAAAAAGTCATACTTTTTTTTGTTAAATTGTTATCTTTAATATTTTCAAAGGCTTTTTAACTTGAAAAGAATAGTATATTTGATTTTTTATTTAATGAATTATTTTATTTAATTATCATAACTTGTTGAAAAGTTATTACAGGAGAAAAAAAAAATATATATATATATATATAATTTTTTTTATTAACATAGTTGTTTATGAGATTATATTTTAACAAAGAATTTTAAAATCATTTATCCTGCAATTATTTACTCTTTTACTTTGTAGTTAATTTTGAATAATTATATGAACATTTAAAAAATATTAAAGTTTGACTTAATTGAGATAATTTTTTTTATATAGGCTAAATTGCTTTTTTAAAGCCCCAACTTTTAGGTTTGTTCAATTTTAGTTTTCAAACCTTTAATTGCATGATTTTATTCCTCTAATTTTGAAATTTGTTCACTCTCTTGAGTTATAATAGAATTTTTAATGGAATTTGTTAATGTACTGAATGATAATCCTAACTTTTAGGTTTATTCAATATGTTGATGTTAATTCTAATATATATTAATAAAATAAATTATTATTTATTGTTTTGTATATGTATGCAAGAAAAAGATTGATTTATCTTTAACGGTTAAGGGTGGGGGAGGTGAAAGTGAAATATTAGAAACTACTTCTTCCTCTTATAATGTGAAAGTTAAAAGGAAATTTAAGATGTGTAACTGTGGCATAGAAGTCTCTTTGTTGACATCATAGACAATTGACAATCTAGGTCAATTTTCTATGGTTGATTTTTAGGTAATAAAAAAAAAAATTTACTCACAATATTTAAGACATAGTGCATTTTAATTTGTACTTTGTTTATAAGTAAAAAGAAAAAAATAGTTATTAGTTCTTTCAATAGTATGATAACAAAGTAAATCTTCGAGAGAAGAATATTATGAAATCATTGTTGAAGAAGGTAGATGCTTTATAGAAGGGAGAGAAATTTATAATGGTGTCACTTGGATGTCATGATTGTCAATGCTTGTTCTTTCTTTCATAGTAAACATAGTGTTAAGATTACATGATTAGATAGTTTTATGGTTTTGTAGGCAATTGAAAAAATGTGTAGCCCTTTTGATAAATGTGTTGAACTCAGTAAAAAAAGTATATGTCTTCAAATGTAATGAAATACTTTATATATCAATTTAAATGAAATAAAATATTTTTTTATCTCACTCTAAATGTATTCAAATGTTTCGTGTCTTACTCCAATTTGATATAAAAGTCCAGTTAATGTGGTTTTTTAGTTTTTTTTTTTTATATTGAATTTGTGATTAGTACATTAATTAAATCATAGCTCTAATTTGGTAGACATATTAAGTAGATCTTAGAGTATATATAATATAAATATAGGTCTTGAAAATATTGGTATCCTGAACAAAATTTATAACAATACAACAATATATAACAATATAAAAGAAAATCTTGATTGCACTTGCATTGGATTAAAAGCAAACAATTGTTTGATAATGTGAATTAAAATTTAATCCAAAAATAAAACATACATCCAACGCTTTGTCATTAAATACAAAACAAAAAATATACACAATGACTTTGCTAATTAAGTACAAAATATCCTTTTAAAATTCTTAATTCCTATATACATCATGTGACTTTTAATTCTCGCTATCATGCATTAATTTGTCTTTTTTGCACAAAGCTTTAGTATACTCTTTGAAAATGAAATATGAGATGGATGAGTAAATGCTTCAGTTGGTTCTCCAAAACTGGTCATTGTTGCACTTTGGGACGCGTGTATAGATACTTCAACAACTAGTCTAATATTTCATTTTCTTCACTTTGTGATGCTTGTTTCCAGCATTCTTTTGCAAAGTCAACAACAAATAACTAGTTAAACATATTTATTCATTAAAATTAAAAAAAAAAGGTAAAAATCTACTTTATTTCTCTTGTTAGATATCAATATGTCTACTATAGTCTTCCCTTTAGATGTCCTAACATTATGACCTATCTTCTCATACTTCTTGCAACTTAGTGTCACATTTTGCTTATGAAGCTTATAGGAATTTTATGGTTCATCATTTTTCTTTCTCCTTTGCTTTTTTGGTCTATTTGGTACTCTTCTCGTTTTTTATGGATTGGTAAGGGTTCACAATTATTTATAGGCCCTAATTTTGAATGATTGTATGAAATAAATGATATGAGTATGTGACCAAAAATGTGTTTTTCTTGGTGTGACAAACAAAAGATAGAGTAAGTAAACATATGGTTAAAAACTGAATATATTAGTGAGTACATACATGTAGTTAAACATGTAATGTGAAGCAACACAATCCTTTGACACATAATTATTATTCCACATGCAAGCCATTACATGACAGCAAGGAATTCTAGTTAAGGTCCACTTCCTACAAGAGCATTATCTCTCAGCCAAATTTACCACAAACTTATCATTGTTCTTTGCTACTTCAAATAGAGCATATGCCTCATTCCCAACCCAACAAGAATACCACTTCTTAACCTCTCGCTTAATTTTCTCATGTTGTTTTTCAAGCATAGGATATATATATATATATATATATATATATATATATATATATCATATACCTAATCATCAAATTTCTAAGATGCATAAACCTATTTTGTAAATAGAATTTTAAGTCATCAATAAAGATACGATAGGTTTGTCCCTATAAGTACTGCTCTATTAAAAGTCTGATACATGTTATTTACTTAAAGTTCACATTAAGTATAAGTAGTGTAGTAAGGTCTAGTCCAAATTGGTGGAGATATATTAATCATATCTTTCCATGTAACTTTTTTCATATTCTTCAATATTTTAATAGTTTTTTCTCATTCTAATATAGTAGTTACCCTTCTAGTTATCTACAAAGCCTTTTTTAGTTTCTAACCTAGGATATTTTTTCCTTCAATTCTCATATGGATGTTTCATGCACAATTTGTGCTCACTATGATGATGCAAATTTTGTAATATATGAGCTAAACCTAAAAAAATGTTTAAATGCATATTAGATTTGAAATGCATGTTAAATTTAAAACTCATAAAAACAAACTAATTGCATATTAGGTTCAAATGTTTAAGATGCATATTAGCAAGTTATC